ATATATATATATGCACAAGTTCAAATTTAATCTTCCAAAATCCAAGATCTGACGTTGACAGCAAAGTTGAGCAACCATCATGTTGAAAATTTCAACGTGGTCGCTTAATATACCTCCAGCAGACACGAGTTCATAAAGCCAGGAGGAAGCAGCCGTCCGTTTATCGCGCCGCGTTCCTGCATTGAATATTTCCATATTAGCACGTCGCAAAGTCACGCCGTTTCTGAAAGTCCGCAGCTAAGCGTCCCGTCAGCGAAAAATTCTCTTCGTCTCAAGAACCACGAATATCTCGAACCACTGGCAAATTTGCGGCGCGGCGCGAGAGTTTTACGATCGGTATCAAACCTGTATTGCGATGTCGTCACAATGGCACGAGAAGAGGAGAATGTCATCGAATACGCTACAAATAGCAATATTATCAAGACCGATGAAAGGAGAAAGAAAACATCGCGACGCGATACTGTGCACGGAGATTATTACGCCGAGTATTTTACGCTCCACCGAGGTAACTCGCTTCTAACTAAGCTCATTCCGCGACAAAGCTTATGCACTTTCAAGGACTTCCGGACTGCTTCCCCAAACCTCTTTTCTCATTTCCTCTCGCCAAGGATTCGAGGCAACGCCGGGTAGCGAAGCGGCACTGTTTTTCATTTTTCTTTTTTTTTTTGCTCTTAGCTCTTTTTTAAGTATACTTCTTCATAACGGAAACAAAAACAGCAACTAATTACACCTGACTCGATTCCTATTATCACGTTTTCCTTCCTACAAGACATCATTTTCGCTAAGAGAATACCGTAAGAATAAGAATCTACGAGTTTTCGAATGCTTCGTGGAGTATTTTTAAAAAATTTACTTAATTACAATTTTAAAAGTCAAAACAAAAATCGCAATGAAGAACATGGTTCATTATTTTATTATATATATTTGTTACCGTAATTTGTTAAATTCAAATTTTAATAAATATTTTATTATATCATTACTTTTATTAATTTTGTCAATAAAATAACCAATTTTTTCCATATGTCTTAAGATAAACGATTAAGGAAAGTTTCAAAAGAAAATATACTTAAAATTAGAAATTAAAGAGTCTTAATCTTTAACTAAACATGTTGCGATGTTCACAATTTTGTACAATAATTTACTCGCTGAATCTCGCTTCCTAGGTTCGTTATTGCTGCTTGGCAACATCTGGATTCGCGGAAATGGTGCCTCTTCCCCTTTTTCTGGTTATATATACTTCCTCAAATTAAGCCAGAAACGGCCGGTTCGGACAGAGTAAATTGCATCATTTCTATTCTTTCTTCTTCTTCAGACAAAAAAATTCAATTTTAATATTCGTAGAATTATTATTAATACAAAATATATATTATAACAATATTTTTGAAGTAAATGCATTATGAAAAACATACGTCATCATTAATTTCAAAAGAGCAATGCTTTAATAATTTTCAAATTAAATATATTTTTAAAAGACTAGAATCATGATCAGAATAAAACATAATGTATATTTAATATAAATTAAAATTATAATTAATAAATTAATTAATAAATTAATATATATAATAATTAATAAATATAATTATAATTAATAGATTAATAATAATAAATTTCATATAACTGATTAATATATGAAAATTTTGTAATGAAGAATTATTGTTATTGTTATATTTATTGCTATAGCTCACTCGCTGTAGCTGTCTAGTGAAAAAAGATTTGTTCACTGAACACAGCAAACGAATTATGCTTAATCGACTTATCGTGAATCCAAATCCGACGAGACATTTACATTTAGGAGTTACCGTTTTACTCCATCCCGAATTCTTTTCCCCTCAGGTATTTCACCTAGGAACTCGACAACAACTCCGTTTAGAATTGTTCGCTCTATGTACCGCTTCTCCTTTTCGTCGGCACTCGGGTAAGCAAAAGTTTCAGGTACGGGAAATCACAGTACATCCCGTGAAAGTTCTTTAAACAGTCAGACGCCACTGACGGCTCTCCTAACGAAGGGTCTGAGAAGATGGATGGTAGTGGATCTCTAAAGCTCTTGTCTGCCAACAGGATTTGCCGGTTTTCAAAGATCTTCGAACTCGTCAGATTCCGTATCAGCCTGCGTGTAATTTTAAAATCCATCGCGCGAATATGCGGTCACCTCGGTTTCCGGCCGGAAGTTTTTCTTGCATTTGCAAAAAAAAAAGAAAAAGAAAAAGAATACAGTGATCGTAGAAATCTCAAGACATGAGATCTCCGTTGAGATCTCCATTGAGATCTTTATTTTAATCACGTTATATCTACGTTACTGTTATTAGAAAGCAACTAATAATTCTCAGATTTTCTCTATTTCCTTCTCGCGAAAGGGATTAAATTGACCATTATATGATGCCACGCGAAGTCTCGAGATTAATAAGTTTTATATTACGTACATCTCTCGGGGCAATTTTCACGACGGTTTATAAGCAAGGCTCGCCGGGAAGAGGGCGCCGGGAAAGTTGTCCGGGATCACCCAGAAAAGTCACCGTAGCGCGATACGAGAAACTTTCGTAGTCACGCACTGCGGATGGCTCCTAAGTTCTAACGAAGAGGAAGCTGCTGCGACGCGCACGTGCAAGAAGATGAGTACCTGCTTATATAAACGTGTTCGCCAGAGAGTTCGTGAAAATTAAATTGTTGACGAAATATGAACAACATCGGCGCCGATAATGTAAATATAATGCCTGTATCGCAGCAATAAAAGCAACAATGACTAAAATATAGCGACGTGAAATGAAGCCTTTGATTTAACGAGTAAGAATGAATTTTAAAGAGAAATATTTTTCTGCGTTCTACATAACTGTGTGTGTGCGTGCGCGTGCGTGCGTGTGTGTGGTGGGGGGGGGAGGAGGGAGGGGGCGATATTATAGCTTATAAACGGTTTTAACGAGAAACCTCCATCGGTTGCAAGCTCGATTGAAAATCCTGGCAGTGATTCAAAGCCAGACTGCACGGAGACGTGTAATATAATCACAAAGTACATATATTCAGGTGATAACATTTCCAAGTAATCTAAGTAACATTTCCAAGTAATCTGGTTCGAAAAATAAAGTTGATGAAATATTTATACAGTCTATTTATGATACTATTTGTAAATAAATATCGCAAAGATCATGAGGTGAAGCAACATCCATGCGAGATATATAGTTGCAACTTTATTTGGTTTGTAAAGAATGATATTCTCGCAGCAGATATACGCATGAATACCGATGTGTACGCAAAAAAGTATTGAGAAACGATCATCTAAATTATAACAAATCTAGTGATCGTGACAGGTTATATCATATAGCGCGATATGGAATATCTAGCTTTTACAATTATACCTGCGTATGATTTATATAACTAGCACGCGAAGATAGAGATTCTGTTTGCACATATCGGTATCTATTGACAGTACGATGGATGATTCAATGCAATCTAGATTCACACGTTCATCGCTCGCTTCGATCACTTTTATGCTTAACCTCGCCCGAGAGCTCGTTTTATATAGAGATTTTTTTTTTTAGCGATCGATTGACAGCCCGAAAGCTGATAAGAGGATACGCGATAATTAAAATATAGAAACCGTAACACAATCTCCGTACCGTAAAATAATTTCAACTTTCTGTTGAATGCAATCTGTTTCTGCGAATATCGGCCGTTCCTCCATTTACGCATATAAATCCATATTTATGTGTTATTTCTAGCCAATAGTAAATTTCCAAGTCAAAACTGAAAGGAAACAAGAAATGGAATAATTCATGACAAGTACAATTTAATGCGGCAACAATTCTGTAATAAGAATCATCAGGTTTGTAGAAAGAAACTTGTAATAATATTTTAGTGCGGAAACGGAGTTATTAGAACAATCGCAGAAGACAATTACGAAAAAATTACAAAGAAAATGACAACTAATATTTTCATAAGAAAAAATTGTTTCGTATTTATACGAATCTTGGATAAATCTGCACAATAAAAGTAAGATATTTTTTGCGACAATTACAAGGGTTTATTAATAATAATATTAATAATACACGATTAATACATCTCATATTTTTAAGTATTATGGATATTTGGCATTATTTATTTAAAATCCATATGTATAATTTTTATAAATACACTATATTGACAGATATCTATGCATGCGAATTATTTGATGGGAAATCGTATATGCGTAGATGAACGACGTAATATAAATTATAATTATATAGATGTTTCATGACGTACAAAAAAATGAGAATATTTACATAATGATAGAAGTCTCTTTTTAGTTTTCTACAAATCAATGAGTCAATTGAAATAACTGCAAAAGTTAGTGTTTTATAT